TTAGGTTTTTCTTAATTCTAATGAAATATATTGAAAAGGATTTATAAATAAGGTAAAGGGCAAAAATATTCACAAAGTAGTCAGTCAAGAAAATTCAGTATCCTAAAGTGAGAAAAAAGGCCAAAATATCCATAACATTACATGAATGGGTGCAACAGTAACCAAATTGTTAACTTTGTTATTAACTTTGACCGTTAAATGCTGACTGTGCATGTCATGTGTCGGTTTTTGTTGATGTGGATTAATAAAGGGGCAAAAATACCCATGAAATCATCAGTCAGGAGCAAAAATACCCATAACATTATTAGAATTGGTGCAAAAGTGACAAATCCATAAAATTTCTTAAATATTGATCGTTTAGCTGACATCTAAACAGAAGTTGACTATTTTTTCACTGATATAAATAAAAAAATTCCTAGATGAATTTTTACGAATGTTGATTGATTATCATATGAATACCCATGATGTTATTTTAATACGTGCAATAGTGATCAATTCGTCAAAATCCATGCCATATGGTTTCTTTCTATCACTACATATCTCACCTCCTTCCTTCCTTCCTCTTTACTCATTTTTTCTTGTCAACAAAACCTGAGATTCAATATAGTTAGATATGTTATACACAATCGAATATCGAGATTGAACACACCTCCTACACAGCCCTACCTTGAGAACATTGTCAAAACTTTAAGTAATTTCATTTATGATAGATTCAAAAGTTGAATGAATTTTACCATTACTGCAAATAAAAAAGTGATTTAATTTGATATTCAATCAAAATGATATTTTCTCACATGATATTCATGCAATGATTGATTAACCTTTTCATTATTATTGCAAAGAAACAAGCAATTTAATTTGATATTCAATTAAAATGATATTTTATCATATGATATTCATGCAATGATTGATTAACCTCTAAAGAATTTCATCTAAAAATATTTTTTGTCCATGTTAGCAAAAAGATAGTCAACTTTTATTTAGATGTCAACTAAACAGTCAACATTTAAGAAATTTTATAAATTGGTCACTTTTGCACTAACTCTGGTAACGTTATAGGTATTTTTGCTCTTAGTTGACGACTTTGTGGATATTTTTACTCCTTTATTGATTCACATCAGTAAAGACTAACACGTGACATGTACAGTTAACATTTAACAGTCAAAGTTAATGGCGTTAGGTCAAAATTAATGATTTAATCACTTTTGTACCCATTCATATAACATTATGGGTATTTTTATGTTTTTCTTCACTTTAGAATACTAAGTGTCTCTGGTTGACCGCTTTGTGAGTATTTTTGACCATTTATCCTTGTAAATAAGAGAGAGTAGCTTTTAGAAATAGATACATAGTACAACTCATGGGGGCCAAAATGAAAAAACTTCATGGAAATTGAGGGACCAAATTTTTTTTTTTCAAATTGTATGAAGAAAATTAATAAAAAATTTTGTAACATCAACTTTCATTGGCCAAAAATAGTGTGGTTCAATAGAGAAGAAGCTATATCAATATATGTATGTGAAGTGGGTGGAACCTTGTGGGGGCCGTAACATGGTTCCAGCTTCTGAAATCGCCTGTATTTGAAGGATTATTCTAGCTTTTTAGTAAAAAAAATTAAATTCATATTTTTTACTTATATATCAAACATATAATTATCATTATAAAATTTATATTAAAATATACTTTTAATTCTCTAATTTTATGAAAAGTTTTAATTTAATTCCTTAATATTATAAAATGTTTTTTAATCCTTTAACCTAGTACATTTAGTTTCAAACTCAGAAGCATGGATGCGCCAAAATGGCATCGTGTCTAATATGTATTCGACATAGACACGCATCCTGTACGTGGATGCGGTGTGTCTTTTTGTTTTTCTTTTTGCGAAACGAACAAATACAAGTGGCTGTCGGAGGACACGAGCGAACATGGGCCTTTGAGTGGTTTTTTTTCCTTAGAACAGATGCCCTACTTCACAAGACGTCGATCGATCCCTTTCATTCCCAAGTCCCTCGCCTGACTCGCATTGCTCTGCCTTTGACCAAATGACCCTCCATTATTGCCGATCGCCGTCCTTCCCTCCTCTACTGTCGTCAAGCAAGGTAATATTCTTCTTCGTCGCTCTGTCTGTTTGAGCCATTGTCGCTTTGTCACTCTCTGTGTCTACCTCCTTAGTCACTGTTTTCTTCCTTAGTCATTGTGTCACTATCTTCTCTCCTCCTCAGTCATGACTCACAAGGGTAATATTCTTGAGCTAGGTTGCTGTTCTTTATTAGCCCTCCTTCATATTAAAATATGCAAAAATTGTTTATAATTTTTCAATATTTATGAATTTAAGTTGACCATTATTTTTGGCCACTTGATGGTACTTAATTATTTAATTACTTATATATATATGTATTTAAATGTTTAATATTTAATCATTTATATAGTTGTATTTATCCTAAAATGTTTGAAAATTGTTGTATCCGCGTAGCATGCCGTATTGTATTCGATACTCGTACGCGTATCGGTGCTTCATAGGTTTCAAATAATTATTTTTTGTATCAATTACTATTATTTAAAAAATTAAACTTAATATGTCCACATTTAAATTTTTTTTGTTAATATTTAAAAAATTTATTGTGATAAAATTAATGATATTAGGATTAAAGAACTAAAATGACACTTTATAAAATTAAAATTAAAATAAAATTTTGCATAAAATTAAAAGATTAAAAATATACATTAGCTTAAATTTTATAACATTTCATACTATACTAGTCGTAAATAAAAATGCATGTACTTTAATAACAAAATAAAAATGCATGTATATTTTTATAGACATGGAAGATTCCTTGGGATGGGAAACAAACATGCTCAACGGTGACATCATCTGCATGTTTATATTCAGCTCCCTCGTAAACAATTCACTATCCAAATTTAATTTAATGAATAAAGTCACTTTCTTTGTGGCCAGAAAAAAGTCACCGTCTTTGATATAATTTGAATCTGTCAGTTTTTATGGGATGGCACGCGGTATACCTTCTAGATTCTTGACCTGGTTGAAGGAGCATTTACATTATCATTTAATTAGTTATGAGTTATTTTCGTCTAAGGCTATTATCACATTTGGTAGTAACAGTATGTCTGTAAAGTGCAAGTTATCTTTATCTGTGTGGTAATAATTTCAATATATTATCTTTTAAATAAATTTAGTTGGATTAGAATTCATCTTATTTTATACATAAAAAAAAGAATTCATAGTATTTTTCTATTAAAATTTAATACATTTTTATCAATCTAATGGAAATATAAAATTAAATTTTATACAGAATTTACAAATCTATAATTTATTGAAATTTAAATCTTGATATATCTTTTAATTTAACTTGAAGATTAAATTAAGAAAACCAATTATTATTCAACATTTTTAAATTTAAATTATTTTTTATTTTAAAATATTAGAAAGTAATTTTATCACTCTAAATCTTTTTATCGCTAACATCTCACCTTGAAGAGTCATGTAATGTGATTTTCCTTAATTATTATGTCAAATTATAATTAGAATTAGAATGGGATTTTTTTCCTTAAAGAAGTTATTCAATTTAAACAGTTATTCCATACTTAATATATTTTTGTTAAATTAAATCAAAACATATAGTTGTTAGATTCAAAATTAACTTATATTAGATCCAGATAAAATAATGGAAAAACATCATTTTAGGGATTGAGGGTATTTGATGTCAATCAAAGATCAAAAGATTTTAAAATATCACTACAAGATCAAAGAATAGATTTGAAAATAATTTAGATAAAAAAGATTATAATACCCTTACCTTTTTTTTAATTGACAAGTACCCATTCATAAATTAACAAGTACTTATTCATATTTAACAAAAAGTCATTTACTAATTGATGAATTCAAGAATATGAAAACTTATTTGTGAAAAGGAATAATTGTATATCATGTTTCAATAGGTAACCCTTTATTAATTAACAAGTACCAATTAGTATTTAACAAGAAGTTATTCGCTAATTGATATGTTCAATAATTTAAAAGAACTTAGTTGTGGAAAGAAATAAGTGTAGATCATATTTTAACAAATAATCATTTGTTAATTAATAAATATATATTTATATTTAATAAAAAGCCATTCACCAATTGACAAGTTTAATAATTTAAAAGAATTTGATTGTGAGAAGGCTATTCACCGTTAATAAGAAAAATATTCGTTAGTTGACAAGTTTTTTTTTTAAAATAGGGGTATTATAGTCTTTTTATCATCTAAAATTATTTTTAAATAAATCTCCTAATACATGATATTTCAAAATCTTTTGATTCTTGTTTGATATTAAATTATTTTCATGGTCCTTGAATGATATATTTTCTAAAATAATTGAAGTACCTAAATTTAAGTACCAAAACTACTGGTCCTAATCATGTTAGATAGAAATAAAATAGTTTAAGCACCTAATTTTTTTTCTGTTACACTGTGGTTGGCCTGTAGAATCCAAAGAAAAAGGCAGACTATATCTAATGTTGGAGGCCATTCGCTATGCTCTTTTCTTCATTAAGCGCCAATGTTAAATTGCAAATCCCACGTCTATTTCATTGCTCATTACCATACCACAAACTTCTAATCATGCCTTTATTTTTGGTTTACAACAACCACATTACATGTTAAAGTTGTTGCAAAGTGACGTTCTTATTTTACTTGTATTCTAGCCGTGTCTATAACTGATTGTTAGTTTTCCTTATAAAATTGCTTTTTACCAAAAAAGGTGAGTTACAATTATAATTTATAATCTTCACTGGACAAAAATTTTATAAATTTCCAGTGCTCAATTTTTACAAATTTTATATTATATACATGTGTTTATTATAAACATGAGTATGTATCGATGTACATGTGTATGTATGTATACTATATATAGACAAATTTAACTTTTTAAGGTGAGTTACAACTACAAATTTGCCAAATGTACTGTGTGCGCATATATAATTGCTAAAAGCAGAATGCAAGAGCAAGCAATTGATGATGATAAATTCCCTCATATGATAGCCATCTCATAATTTCCTAGCTCAATAGAATAAAGTTGATTCTTTCTACTGCCTACCTACCCTATTGTGATTTTCTTTAGGCTCGGATTCGTTTGTGTTTAAATATGTTTTAACCCTTGATTTACGAAAGCTATTGTCGGTAATCCCAGAAACCCACGACGCAAGAAATAGCTTTTGTTACTGTAAATTGTTCCCTTTGCTTCGTTCTTCATCTGAGCAGTGCCTACTTTAATCTGTTGCTTTCGAGCAAATCATCAATGATTTACTTAAAACTGTGCTTGTGTCCTTCTTCGGAGTGAACAACAAAAGACTGGGATTTTTTTTTCTAAGTTTAAATAGTATTAGGTTTTTCGTAATCGTGTTTATGCATAGATCTGGAACTACGATGGCTTGGAACGTTTTCAAGTTCTGCACTGCCTTGCGAGGGCTTGGCTCGATCATGATACTCTTGGTCCTCGGGGTTGTAGGTGTCAGTTATTATGCTGTTGTTTTCACTAATTATGGCCCTGCTTTGTCTGCTGGGTGGCCTGATTCTGTCATTGCCATGGTGGTGTTGATCTTGTTTCATTGTTTGGTAAGTTTTTCGCTGCTGACTACTTTCGTGCTGGGGATTATAAGGTTATTTCGAGGTTTTGTTTGTTAGATGTTAAATTTGACTTTTGGTTAGGGAAATGATGAAATGCATTCAGATTCTCTCCTTTGTGTGGGTATAACGGAATGATATTATTAGTTGAAATTCAATTACTGCAGTTGGTTATGCTATTGTGGAGTTATTTTGCTGCGGTTCTTACGGATCCTGGAAGCGTACCTCCTAATTGGAGGCCTGCAATTGACGAGGAGAGAGGAGAAGCTGACCCATTAAATGGATTAGAATTCAGCAATGTGCAGTCGGATCCTTTAAATCAACGAGTCCGGTTCTGCAGGAAGTGCAATCAACTTAAACCACCTCGATGTCATCATTGTTCCGTTTGTGAGTCTTGCTGTAAAATTTTATCATTTTGTCTTTCCATGCTGAAAACACGTGAAGATAACTTTGGTTTCTATGGGTTTGGTGCTAGGTGGACGGTGTGTGCTAAAGATGGACCACCATTGTGTTTGGGTAGTTAACTGTGTTGGTGCTCTAAATTACAAGTATTTTCTTCTTTTCCTGGTATGGGCACGCTAAATTTCATATTTTATGACAATTCAAATGTGTAGCTATGATTTCTTACCTGCATTGATCGTATTGTCTTCACCGCTCTCTATGACTGAGCCATTAATTGTGTGATGTCCGTTTTTAGGTAAAATGCTCTTTGCAGTTTTGCACATGGCGCCTTTATTATGATACCTCTGGTTCTTACATAGGAAGTGAAATTTATTTATGACGAAATAGAATGGGTAACCTGGAATGGACTATTACTGATTTGCTTGTATTGAGACTTACTTAGTTATGCAATAAGATTCTGTGGGAAGCCGTAAGTAGCAGTTTTATATTTTCCATTTCCTTGTCTGTAGATTAAGGCCCTGTTTGGTACATTGGAATGATTTTTAATTGATTGGGAATGGGAATAGGATAATGTGTGGGAATGGCTTTTAAAAACATGTTTAGTATGTTGATGGAATGGTTGAATATTTTTTATTTAATATATGTAATTACTAATTACAGTGGTTAAATGCCAAAATACCCTCATCCTTCTCATTTCAAACAACCCAGCTGTGTTACCCATTTCATCTTCATCTCCTCTTATCCTTCCACAAATCAAAATCAGATCTATGATATATGCTGGATTAAGAAAAAGGACAAAACAAAACAGCAACGTCAAAAAATTTCTCATATGTTATCTTCATACGGTAGAAGACTGGAGGAAGAGTGCAGGGCAAAACAATGAGGATGTTAGGATAGAAAGAGATGAAGAGAGAAGAGAGATAGGTAAACGAGAAGGAGAGAACAGAGGGAAGTTTAGATGAGATGTTTCTGAATAGTGCGTTTTATTAAACGAGTTCAAACACGACACTGCATATCTGGACTTGGGTATTTATAGGGCTGGACTATTAGACTAAATAACAGTAACAGTACCGCCCCATTGAAATAACATTTATACCCCTGCCCCAACTAATTCCGGTAACCCCTAATATTTTCACATCGATACTCCCCTCCCCAACATCCTTGCCCTCAAGGATCAAAAAGAGGAAAATCTGGAAGCTGTTTTTGAAATTTGAACTGAGACAGCCATGTAGCTTCCTTATCTGGCAAGCCTTTCCACTGAACTAACACTTCAGTAATAATTCTTCCTTTCTTTCTTCCCACACGTTTGTTCAGTGTTTTCTCAGGAAATAACAATTCTGGAATTTCTGGCCATTCATCAGGCGGATGTCTCTGCTTCATTGATGGGTCAGGGCATAACTTGAGGAGACAAACATGAAAATTGGAATGAATTCTGGAACTAGGAGGTAATTCCAGTCTGTACGCAACCTTCCCAATCCTCTTGAGCACTTTCTAAGGCCTAAAGTACCTTGGTGCTAGCTTTTGAGTGCTTCTAGAGGCAATAGAGTTTGTCTATAAGGCTGTAATTTCAAAAACACCCATTGGCCTTCTTCAAACTCTCGATCAGATCTTTTCAAATCAGCCCTTTGCTTCATTAAATTCGCTGCCCTATGCAAATGATGCCCTAACACTCCAATCATGTGTTCCCTTGCCTCAAAACTCCTGTCCACAGCTTCAACAATTGCTGATCTAGGCAAATAAGGAACATATAGAGGAGGTTTCTGCCCATAAAGTAATTCATAGGGAGTAGCCTTGATGGAAGTATGAAAACTAGTATTATACCACCATTCAGCAAGCGGTAACCATTTACTCCATTCTTTAGGATTCGCCTAGCACATGCAACGTGGAGAAGTTTCCAAACATCGATTGAGCACCTCAAATTGATCATCGGTTTGAGGATGGTAGGAAAAAGTAAGCTTTTGCTCCACTCTAAACACCTTGACGTACTCCTTCCAAAAATTACTAATAAACATTGGATCTCTATCACTTGTCACTTCAACTGGGGCTCCATGCAATCTATGTATATTATCCAAGAATGCTTGAGCTAACGTAGAAGCTGAAAATGGGTGAGATATGGCCATAAAATGGGCATACTTGCTTATTCTATACACTACAACCCAAATGACTTCTTTCCCACATGATTTAGGGAGCCTTTGATAAAATCCATAGTAACGCTCTCCCACACCTTACTCGGAATTGGTAGTGACTGTAACAACCCTGGACTTGCTACTGTCTCATACTTACAGCAGGCACAAGTGTCACAATTTTTGTCAAAGCTGGACTTTCCCCCACCACCAGCTTCCCATTTCTTCTAAGGAATTTGTCATCCCAAGAATAGGCTTTAATACTGCCATGTTGTCTCTGTAACTCAGAAATAAGGCCCTTGAGATCTGGATCCAACTCCCAACTCTCCTCAAGCTTGTGTAATAACTCTGGAGATGATGTATCTAAAATCATCTGAAGTAACTGAGGTCGTGAGAGTCGAGAAAAAGCATCTGCAGCCGTGTTAGCATTCCCCTTTTTATAATGAATTTCATAGTCATACCCCATTAACTTTGTAACCCAATACATCTGAAAAGGGGTCTTCAACTTCTGTCCCAACAAAGATTTAAGGCTTTGCTGATCTGTTTTGATAATAAACCTCCTTCTTTCAAGGTATTGATGCCAATGCTCAACAGCTAGGACAACTGCCAATAATTCCTTCTCATAAACTGCAAACTGGAGCTGTTTGGGACCCAAAGGCTTGCTGAAAAATGCAATGGGTTGATTTCCTTGGAGCAGGACAGCCCCAATTCCCTTTCCACAAGCATCCGTTTCCACTACAAACTCTTTATTGAAATCTGGGAGAGATAAAACCGATGCTGAAAAAAGTATTTGTTTCATCTTCTTGAATGTGATAGCAGCTTCTTCATGCCACTTGAATGCATTTTTCTTTAAAAGGTCTGTCAAGGGTTTGATTATTTGTCCATACCCTTTGATAAACCTTTTATAGTACTTGGCAAGCCCTAAAAAAGACCACAATTGTTTAATAGTAGTTGGTGCAGGCCAATCTACCATTGCTTGAATTTTCTGAGGGTCAGTAGCCACCATTCCATTACTAATAATGTGCCCTAAGTATTCCACCTTATTGTTGGCAAATGTATACTTGCTTCTCTTGATGAAATAATGATTTTTCTGCAAAATTTCAAACACTAGTCTTAGATGCTGAACATGCAGATTCAAATTTGAGCTATAAACTAAAATGTCATCAAAGAAGACAAGAACAAAGTGGCACAAATAAGGTCTAAAAATAGAGTTCATTGCTCCCTGAAATGTTGCTGGAGCATTGGTTAACCAGCCACTCATAATGACCTGATTGAGACTGGAAGGCTGTTTTAAACGTGTCTTGAGGCTCTATTCGGATTTGATGGTATTCCGCTCTCAAATCCAGCTTTGTAAACCATCTAGCTTCCCTCAATTCATCCAATAATTCTTCCACAAGTGGAATAGGATATCTATTTTTTATTGTCTTCTTATTAAGCTCACGGTAGTCGATACACATGCGCCATGAGCCATCCTTCTTTTCTACCAACACAATAGGTGCAGCAAAAGTGGAGCTACTTTCTTGTATCACTCCTGTAGCTAGCAACTCTCCCACCATTTTCTCAATAAGGTCCTTTTGGGCAGAAGAATAACAATAGGCTTGAGATTAATAGGATCTATCTCTTCTGTAAAAGAATAGGGTGGTTATGACCCTTTCTAAAAGGGGCCAGACCTTTAGGTTCATCAAAAAAACTGTTAAGTTCTTCCAAAAGGTCACCAACAGCCTCTGGAATGGTTTCTGTTGGTTGCACAGCATGGTTTTGACTCTGAAACTGACTATTTTCTGCTAATTGGAGTAGAAATAATTGGCACCCGTCTCCATTCTTAATTTCCAACTTGCTGGAATCAACCATTTGCCATTTTGATGGAGGTTGTGCCTGCAAAACACACATTTTCCCATCATTCTAGAAATACATAGTAGCAGAAATATAATCCCGAAAAGCATAATGAAGGCTTTTAAGCCATTCCCAGCCCAACACAACATCATAAGTGCGTATGTTTATTATCCTGAGGTCTCGGCCAAAGTCTTCTCCTTGCATTTTCCATTTAAATGCCTTCCAAACTCCAGATATTTTCAATTTTCCAGCCCCTGCAACCACTGCATCAGTCCATCCATCTTCTTCTTCATTCCAGCCCAGCTTCTTTGCCAAATTATAATCAAGAAAATCATGGCTGCTTCCATTATCTATGAGAATTTGGATAGGTCTCCTTCCCACATATCCTTGAAGTCTCATAGAATTCATACTAACTTCACCCTCAATGGCATGCATTGAAATTTGATGGCATTCAAGAGGAATTTCTTATTCATCAGGGTCTGTCTCGTTAGGTTCCATCCCTCTTCCTCCAGATTTTCATCCAGCTCTATTAATTGCAATTGCATCTTGCGTCTTTGAGGGCGATTATGGTTTCTAGAAAATTTATGACAGTAAAAGCAGAGGTTTTGTGCTCTGTGTTCTGCCTCCTCCTCTGGTGTTAATTTTGTAGGAATTTTAATCCCAAAAATAAACTGGTGAGAAGAAGAAGATGAATCTTTTGCCGTGTTAGACGCTGAGCTTTGCATGACTGAGGATTCTGAGGTTGGCCGTGCTGTTCTAGTTGTGTTTTGGCGAGACCCATCATGTGAGAAGCTCTGTTTCAGTGCTGCCTAGGCATTCACAGAACGCAAAGAGGCTGCAGATGTCGTGATGTTGCTTTGCGATGTGTAGGATACCTTTCTTGAGCACATGTTTGCTTCTAGTGATTTCTGAAGGTGTATTTCTTGAAGTCGGGCTAGACTTCTTGCATCTTGAACAGTTGTGGGCTTAAGTAACCTTACTGGCCCAGCATATTCTTCTTGTAAACCTTCTAAATAGGTCTGCACCAGATACTCCTCAGTTAGGTCCAGCTTACATACGATTTCATCAAAAGAATCATTGTAATCTCCTAAGCTCCCTGTCTGTTGCAGCTGCATGAGTTCTGCCATGGGTGCTTCATAAGTAGGTCCAAATCGGTTCTTTATGGCTTTTGAGTATTCTTCCCACCTAGTCGCACGTCTCCTTCTAGTACGCATGAAGCTTTGATGCCATTGAAAGGCCTTCTCATTGAGATGAATACTAGCCGTCATGACCTTCCACGCGTTTGGGGTGTTATCAAGCTGGAAGTACTGATCGCACTTTACAAGCCATCCAAGAACATCTCCTCTCTAAAATCTTGGAAGCTTTATCTTGATAAATCGGGTAGGAGGTTGGTATTCTCGTTCTTGTCTTGGTCACTGGCGTCCTCCAATTCTTCGATGGTGTCCTTCTGCCTTATTGGAGTCTGTCTCATGATGGGTTCGAGACTCTTCTACCATGCAGACAAGTTCTACAACCTAGGTAGTGAGCCCTTCAATCTAATTTTCAACCATCGTGAGTCTTGCATCTGTTTCTTCAGCCATTCTTGTTTCCAAAGGAGTGATGGGCATATGAGGGAGGAAGGATTGGCTTTAGATACCACTATTAGGATGGAAAGAGTTGAAGAGAGAATAGAGATAGGTAGACGAGAAGGAGAGAACAGAGGGAAGTTTAGATGAGACGTTTTTGAATAGTGCATTTTATTAAATGAGTTCAAACACAACACTGCGTATCTGGACTTGGGTATTTATAGGGCTGGACTATTAGACTAAATAACAGTAGCAGTACTGCCCTATGGAAATAACATTTAATACCTCTGCCCCAACTAATTCCTATAGCCCCTGATATTTTCATATCAGGGGAGCAATTTTGTCTGAAAAATTGTTAAGCAAGGATAGTTTGGTTAAAAAAAACTCATTCCCAAGGAATGAGGACCATTCCCATGGTTAGTGGTGGGTTTGCTGGCTTCCATGAATGAGGGAATGGTGCTCTCCTTAGGAATGGCTGATGACATGCATCAAACATGCAAGATGGCCCAATCCCTCACCCATTCTCATTTCTCACCAAACATGCAAGGGGGTAAATACTAACCAAACGCAGTCTCATACCAAACATGGCCTAAAGTCTTTTATGGTTTCCTTCTTATCCTATGTGGGATGTTGATATTGTTTTCTCCATGTTGTCACTTCTTTTTTATGTGCAAAAAGAGATGATATGCTTCCTATAACCTCAAAGGTATGAATGAAGAACTGTTCTTTTTTCCTTTTCTTTCTAGCTAGTTGAAACACTTTAATTATATGTTGCTATGCAGAATATTAGCGGGTGCCAATTTCCAAAGACAAAAAAAATATGAATGATATTTAATGAGCCTGCATATTCTACACTATTGCTATATTTGGAATGGTTGTGTATTTGTTTCCTTTATTTGTGGCTGCCTACAGAAAAATCCTTGCAGTTGTGATGTCATTCTATTTTATCTTTGTGCAGTTCTACACATTTCTTGAGACAACTCTTGTGACGATATCATTGTTGCCAAACTTCATTTCATTCTTTAGTGACGCAGAAATTCCTGGAACACCTAGCACACTTGCGACAACTTTTCTTGCTTTCGGTAGGGTCTTGAAGCACTGTTTTACTCAATTGTTAGTTTGTACTTAGAATTTGTATAACATTGTTGAATTATGAACAGTTTTGAACCTGGCATTTGCGTTGAGCGTTTTTGGATTTCTTATTATGCACATATCTTTGGTGGCTGCTAATACAACTACTATTGAGGTAAATTTTTGCACGCCTTTATTTCTTTAGTCCTTTATCTACCTGAAACAATCTTCTGGATTTGATCCTTTTTTTTTCCTTTCTTTCTTTGTTTTCTGTGGTTGGAGATGCTTCTAGGTTCCATTGTCTTTCTCTAAAACTAATTGTTGTGGCAGATTGAAATATGGTTATCAAGAGAAGCTAAACATGTAGCGGTGCTTACAAATTGGATTTAGTTTAGCACTCCTTTTAGGTTCATTTAAAATGACAAATGTTTCATGATGCATCAAATGGAAGTCAAAAACTTCAAGTGATTGTGCATTTTTCTTTCTTTCTTTCTTTTTGTGTTTTGAAAATCTTTCAACATAAAAAATATGATTTACTTCTTTATGCTCCTCCTTAAAGTGGGAGTGGATTGGATAGTGTTTGTGACTTTTCTGTGGGATTTCCTTCCCTTTCTTTTACCAGGCATATGAGAAGAAAACTACTCCAAAATGGCGTTATGACCTTGGTCGCAGAAAAAATTTTGAACAGGTGTGTTCATGTCAGTGTATTAACGTTGTCAATATATATTTCTTTTTAGATGTTAACGTAAGTATTTCATTCACTCTTCTCAAAAAATGTTCTCAACACAATTAAGAACATATTAGTACTGACAATCTATGCGCTGACATCAAGCTTCTGGGCACAAGATACAGGGTTTACATTTGCAGCTTTATTTGTTAGAGTCTAGAGAATATAGATCTTCTGGTTGAGGTTTTCTTTTGTTTAAGCATTAAAGTTATTGAAAAGAATTTACTTAAATCTGGTCGTCTTAAGGCTCTTGACACATAAATTTGACTTGCTTTGAGTTTATAAATTCAGAGTAGGCTTGGCCTCTAATCATGCTGTTTATAGGGTCATTAACCTTTATCTCTATTTTCTTAAATAAAGAAACTGTAAACTGCATTAAGTTGGGAAGTTTGCCCAATAGCTATTATTTATGAATTGCTTGAGTCTACAAATGGTTCATTGGACAAACTGCAGATTGTTACTATCATATATCATGCTCATACCCCGCCTGAAATTTGGCTAACTAGATGAATTGACATAGTTTTAAGAATCTTTCCTTCGTTTGACTAGCTTTGATGTTTAACTTGGTATATACTTAGATATTTAGTTCATTGTCAAGTATTTGATAAGCTCCCCCCATGAACAGAAGACATCTGTGTTGGTAATCCTTATGCAGGCAAACGGCAGTTTTCTTACTTTGGTACGTTAGCATGATGTCAAAAACGTAATTTTCTTCCATTAGCTGTATTGAAATCTTATCTGCCTTTAATCTGGCATCAACTAATGTCACCATCTAACGCCAAGTCGGTTAATGTCAAATCCTAATTTTTAAGACTTTCCCTATGCAATTGGGAGCAATATGGTTCAGGCGAAACAGAAATTGAAGCCCATAAATTAAAATTTACAAATTATTTGTTGGGTTACTGCTTATTTGGTAAGTGCAGAATTTTTGCTGAACTTTGAAAGTTCATAACTAAATCTAGAAAATTTGTATGAGGATGCTCTAAAATGCTCTAAAATTCTCTTGAAAGCTGTTAAAGTCATTTAAGTGATAAAAATACATTTTATACCCTTTTTGGTTCCAAATAGTATAGTTTATTCGTTTTTTCAAAGCTTCTTTGTTTCTCATATAGAATTTGTGCCACTTGAAAAATTCATAACTCAAGATTTACATATCCAAATGATCTGGTTTGGGACTTTTTAGAAAGATTTATGTCTCTATTTTTACCATAAAAATTCTCATGAGCATTGGATATGGGTTATTATATGTTAAACAATGAAACAGTAACCCCCCTCTATAAAGAGCCTAAGCTGGACAATCCCAATCATGCATATTAAAATCATGATTTCAAGGCTAGTTTAGGACTCCAAATTGGCCATCATACATCAACACGTATTACTTATACATACCAAAGCCTCATCATAAATTTACATAGCTTATAAACTTATTTATACATTTTTCCTCTCTATAAAAGTAATGCCATAGGAAAAATTATCTCCTAGTCAACTTATTTTTACTTCTTGCTCTAGCTCTTCTTTTGAAAGCTTATAACCTAGCATGGTTAGTCATTGGGGGTGAGATTTGAGAGAAACTCAGTAGTAAACAATACCATTCAAGCACACAAGGCATAAGTTTTATACATAACATATACTTGCATCACGTGACTTCATAACTAACATATTGACATGTTACATGCTCATACATCATACATGGATCATGGAACATTTAAAAACAAAGCTTCAAACATTCATTCATGATTCATAGAAGTAAGGAAACAAATCATACATATCATCATGCAAGCATAAATACCAAGCATGTAATGAAGGGCAAGTTTACTACCTTTTTGGCTTTACTATTCCTTCTTTCTTTTTCTTGCTTCCATTTGATCCCTCATGACGAAACCTCCAATTCCTTTTCCATGATACTCATTGGCCCTAAATATTTGCTATAGAATATTTATGACAACTGTTAGGTCCAATAATCACATTGTCAATACATGACTACTTCACTCTTTATTTAATTTAATTCTTGCTTTCTTTATGTCAAGATTTCACATAAACTTTCCTTAGCATAAAAATTTTTGTACAATCATTCCCTCCCTCCCCAATTTTTCATAAGAAACTCATTTTTAAACTCAAATTTAACAAATTCTAACTTCTTCCTTTTGAACCAGCCTTGATAGTAATTGGTATTTCATAACCTAGATTGTGGTTTCTTTCAAGTTATTTACATGCTTCATATGTACATATCTCAAGGCTAGGTTTTAAATCATATTTCATAAACTTAAATGCTTAACTAATCATTGCTTAATTCTTTCAAAAATTGGGCAGCATTTCCTCTTGAAAATTGACCATCTAAAAATTACATCAAGCTTGAAATCAAGGTACCATTTGTTAATAATCAATAAGTAACATCTATATGGCCATTTCTATGCCCTTTCCTAGCATTTAATCATCAAAACAACAAATCTTATTATTTAAACAAAATAGGGCAGCATCTCATCATCACAAAAGCTCAAGCAAAATTTTGATAAATAGCTCAAAGAGAAGCTCTTTCATATCTCTTCTCTATGCACTAACTTATTCTTGCTTTCTTCACTACTTCTTCCATCTATGTCACTTCAAAGTCATCCTCTTGCGAAATTAAAACCATAGAAATGTTCATCTTGATGAGAGGAACAACTTTTGTGAAGGCACTTTTGATGTAGAAATGGAGTTTAGATGGGGATTTTGTTTCATTTTTCGTCTCTCTCTAATCCACCATGGACAAAACCCAAGGTCACTCTCCCTCTCTCTTTTTTGCATGTTAACCGAAATGAGGAAGGATAAATGCGTGTGGTGGTGTTTTCGTGGAAGATTGAACCAATTTTAAAAATTAGTCTTATCTTTTGAGCAATTTCGAACCAATAAAATTGGTATAATTCATCCAAATATTTCTTCTTTTTGTAAATTGATTTCCTTTAATTTTTCATGAATTTTGGGTAATTTTCTGTAATTACACTTTAAGACCCAAAGCTGTCAGAAATTGCACTTTAACCCTGATTGAACTTGATATTTCCAGGTTAACGTTTACTCTTTTTTTTCTTTTAACTCTAAGTACCTTTTCATACTCTCATTATATTTAATTAATATAATTACCTTTGAACATTAATGATTACTATGTGGCTCCAGATAAGCTATTACTCTTATTTGTTTTTCTTTTCTTTTCTTTCTTGACCTTAATAGTAGTTGAGATATCTAAAAAAAAGTCAAGGGTACTCTTTCTGTAATAATTGGCCAAATTTAAGAGGTTTTGGTATTTTAAATTCATCCTAGACTATCGTCTTCCTAGAGAATTATCATATACACTGGCTCAATAACTTTCTACTTGGTCCAGTGTGACCATTACATCTAACTCTGATCTTGAGATCTAATTGCAATCTCACTGTGCCCTTTTTGGATCTACTATTATCCTTAGGGTCTACTTGTGATCCTTCTCTAGAAGATTTAGAACATAAGGATAAAGTCAAATAATTTTACCTTTATTTAGTCCGGCAATTTTATTAATTATTCTCCAAAATGATCTCTTAGATATTTTGTTACCTTCTTAGACCTTACTTATTCCCCTTTTAGCCTATCCTGGACACTTTTGAACTTTAACTTGCTCATTTCTTAGTTTTGGACGCTTTCTCGAAGTTTCTGAAAATATTACGCTTTTGCTCAAGAAAAACTTTAAAATTATAATTTGGTCCCTAAGAATCATTTCATCTTTTTAGGGCACTTTAAGGACTTTTGACTACTTGAGCTTAGTAGGTTACTGAATTCTTGCATATTTTTGAGCTACTAGGCCCAAAATTCAAGATGTTACAGTCAACTTATTTGAAAAGTGGAATAGAGAGGGAGAAAAAAAAAAAACAACAGACATGGAGGATGAGGAAGAAAAGGTCCAGGCTCACAATATTAAGCAGAACTACATTATTCTCTGGACCTATTTGTCTTAGTCTCTTTTAATTTCTGTGTAATGGGAAAAAAAAGATATGCAAGTATTAAGCCATGGGCTCAATATAAGAAGCATGGATAAGGACATGACGTGATACAGAAACAGCAACAGGACAAAATATCAGTTGAAGTATTGGGCTTAATATACTTGACATGAATCATTAGTTCCTCATTGCCTGTTACATTTGGATGTAGGTGGGTTTAGATTTGGATTTGAATTTGACCAAATCTGCCATTTGGATCTAGAAAAATTTATGGATTTGGATTTAATCCAAATTTTTATTTTATTATAATTCTTTTGTAATTTCAAATTTCTATACACCTTGGTCATTTGAAATATTAGCTATTCTAACCCTTTTGTCCTCTTCTTGTTTTCATTTCCAATCTCCCTCATTTCATTGTCTTTCAATTTGACTTTTTTATATCACGCAAACAAAATGTTTTAAATACATGTGTTTAAAATTTGAGATTTTAAATTTAAAATCTAAATTCAAATTAAACACTACCTTAGTGAAGTGCCGAGGAGTTTCTAAATATAGTGTTATGGAAGTATGCTTTTTGTTTTTTTTTTCTTTTTTGGAAGCATCATTAGATTTGAAAATTAAAAAAAAAAAAATTCTCGTACCCCACATCCTCAGTCACGATGCATCTGCTCTTGTAGATTTGCAGAAACATGGAGACATTGTCCGTGCAATTGATATGACCTGGGTTTTATATTATCCTATCCTATCCGCACACTTTATGGTTCTTTTGGTTCTCTGGAGCACCATGTATAAAATTGTTGGGACTCACTCATTCTATTGCTTCTTGTTCAATTTGTAACAGGTCTTTGGGATGGACAGGCAATACTGGCTTATCCCTGCTTACGCCGAAGAAGATGTAAGAAGGATGCCAGCACTTCAAGGTTTTGAGTATCCATCAAAACCCGACTACGATTCGCAAGAGTTCTGACGGGCTACTGGTGACTGGCACAGCGTGAAAACTTCTGTTTTCCTTGTAAAATAACACAAAATGCAAAAGGTCTCTGGAATCCGTCCGACTTTCAGTGTCTAACTGAACAGTAAGCATTCGACTAACCTGAGCTTCCGGGCGAATCATTCCCCCAGAGGTACTTGGTATGGCTAGTTTTCAGAGGGATCCTCGTGGTGTTTGAGAGAATGGGAGTTTAAGGTTAGAAGAGAACTTATTTGCAGCTTGGTTAAGTGTTTGATATTATGCTTTTCAATAAATTTATAACATGCGAAAAATAGATTTTGAAATTGTTGGAAAAAAGTCCATGTTATATTTTTATTGAAATAGCCTAATGCAATTACTCACTGAATTGTGTCTGAACCATGGAATTGTTGATGCTTTGATGAGGTTAGGGCAGGATCAGGGAGTGTATGATAAGAAATGCAATTAAAACAAAAAACAAAAAACAAAAGTTTCCCTTCATCTGGTCACACATGTTATTTGAATTATTGATTGCTCACTTGATATTACCTTGTGCCTTGCACATATGTGGTTTGGCTTCGTTCATGTATAATATCCATTTCACATGTCACTGATCATTGTGTTACTTGTTTCTGGCACGATGCCCCGTGCTCTCATTTTTTCAAAGTACTAGACACTGGATTGATTAAAATATTAGTTTAATAGTTAATAGTTAAAATTATAGTTGTAATGTGTTTAAATGGGTTATATATAAAGCATTTCATTAAATTAATTAAAATATTGATTTAATGGTTTATTAGTTTAACCAAGCGGTCCATACACACCAATAATGAGATGACTTCAAAGGATCATCCAATGTCAATGATAAATTATTACTCCTTTAGCTCATAACATGGTACATTTTCTAAAATGCCTTGTTTGGTCTAAAATCGAGAGAGTATTTGGTGATTTTTATAATTTTTTAATTATATTCACATTTCATTTATTATATTTTTTGCAAAAAACTTATTGAAATTTTAATTGCCATAACTAAGATATTTTTGTAAAGCATTTAGTGGGAGTATAATTAGAGATATATAATTTTTTTAAAATTGTGAAGTAGTTATTATTAATGTTATATATCAATTATTATGAACTTAGGGATTAATTCCTTGTAAATTGGGGTGGACTCCTTTGTGAGAAAATTAAATAGATATTTATAAATAAATTTATGTTGATCAAAATATTTTTAATGATAGTAATTTCTTATTAAAAATAGTTTATTAGAAACATGCGTAACCTCTTAGTTTTATCTATTTATTTATTTTTTTTGGGTACTGAAACTACCCCATGTTCATTTTTCAGGTAATCAAAGCTACCCCATGTATTATTATTATTATTTTTTTAATGTGAAGGGTATTGTGGTGGGTTTGTGGGAAGGAGTGTAAATATAAAAGGGAAAATGACAATAAAGTCTCAAAAGATCAATTTTATACGAGTTAAGTCTCAACTAATTTTAAAAGGTCAATAAAGTCCCAGAGTCCTTAAATGGTATTTTGATGTCACAGGAAAAGACCGAAACACCCTTCTTCAAGTAAAAGCTCATTTTCTTCTCTGCCTGAACGAGTCTTAGTGTGTGACGCGAAGCTCTGTTCTCTGGGTTTGCGTTCTTTAATCCATACGGTGAACGAGGGCTTGGTTGGGCCAAGGGAGAGTGATGTTTCTGGGGGCAGCACGCGTAGCCGGCAACTGAGAGTTGAACACTTGAAGGAGAAGATGGAAATGTTGGCGACGGTGACAGAAGTGAGAATCCAAATTTTGCAATTTCCTTAGAAACAATTTGCAACTAATACTTAAAATTTTGGATCGAAAAACTATTAAATTCGTTGAAGAGTTAAATCCTTTAGGACAAAGCTCCAATAATTTATAAGTGAGAAACCAAATTTTGCAATGCTCTTAGAAACAATTTGCAACTGGTACTCTAAATTTTGGATCGAAAAACTATTAAATTCGTTGAAGAGTTAAATCCTTTAGGACAAAGCTCCAGTAATTTACAAGTGAAAAACCAAATTTTGCGATGCCCTTAGAAACAATTTACAACTGGTACTTCAAATTTTGGATCAAAGAACTATTAAATTCGTGGAAGAGTTAAATCTTTTGGGACAAAGCTCCAGTAATTTGCAAGTGAGAAACCAAGTTTTGCAATTCCCTTAGAAACAATTTGCAACTCATATTCGAAATTTGGGATCGAAGAACTCTGATTTGTGAAAAACAGCATGAGACTTTATTGGCTTTTAGAATTACCTGGGACTTAACTGGTATAAAATTAGTTTTTTGGGACTTGATTGTCATTGTCCCAATATAAAAAGAAGTGTAAATATATGGGTGAATAAGTGGATATTATTGGTAATTGCTCGTTACCCAAAAAAAAAAAGGAAAGGGTATCGTTAGGCTTACTTTTTTCATTTTATTTATAAATTATTTCTAACATTTTTATTAAAATAAAAAAATTAAGTCTTATTAATTTTATTTAAAAATTTAACAAGTTTTTAATTTAATTTCTGTTAAATATATATTAAAACTAAAATAAACTAACATTTAATAATCTTTTCAATATTTAATAAAGACAAAAGATAAAAAAAAAAAAGGACATAATAATCGTAAAGATATCATATAAATAAGATTAAAACAAAAATTCTCTCTATGTGTCAAGGAGTATCAAAGTTTTTGTAATTATAAGTTATTCCAAAGGCAACAAACGCTACCTTCTTTTAGACATGAGGTTTAGGATTCAAATTTTATATTGACATGTGTATCTCATTAATTTGATATGATGAGGTTTAGGATTCAAATCTTATATTGACATGTGTATCTCATTAATCTAATATGATAAATTCATTTATTAATAAGATAATAGGCTTATTAATGATAGGGTGCTTTTGACAAAAATAAAAGATCAATGAGGTTAATTTTAAACCTTTAAAAACAAAGAAAATAATATATAAGGATGTTGAACTTAAAAAGTTTTATATATTTTAGTCATTAATTTATAGTTATGAACTATTCATATATTTATTTATTTATTATTTTAATAATTTTATAAAATACTAAATCTTAACCTTTATTTATTTATTCATTCATTTAATGATTTTTTAACACAACGATGAGAAGAGGAACAAGATCCAGTCCCCCCTGGGCTAAGTAAATGTAACAAACCTGGTCAATCCCGAAGTTTCCAGCTTTTCCAGATGAATTCAAATTCATGTACCTTCTTCAACCAAAAGTCCACGTGTCAACATCCCATCCGTTCTCTCCATATATATATATATATATATATTCCTCCCTTTATTTTAAACGGAAGGTTGTAGTCATTTCTGGTTCTTTCTCTTCTCTATCTCCCTCCATTCTGTAACAGTCTTGGAGGTAAGATTTCTCTCCCCGCCATTTATCTGAAGTCATTTTCTCTTCATGTTCTATTTCACGCTCATTTTCTTCCAAACCGAATGGCGGTTATTAGCACGATCATGTAACCGCAACCTCACGAGTTAGGACTATGGCAATTTGAATTTGAATTTATAGCATTAGGCTTCGTTCCATCATCCGAACTTCATGAGCGTCTCTATGGCAGATTTATGGTGTTGTCTTCGTCATTTCCAGTGCCCGATCTTCAATGAACCACGCGAATTTCTTTGGTTTTGTTTTGTTTTTTTTGTTTTTTGCTTTTTTTGTGTCCTGGCTTAAAGTCTGCTATATCTTTAATGTTGTTGAATCATGGGTCCTAAATTGATGTAACCGGATTGGATATGATAAACTTGATGTTGCGTGTTAATGGTGTTTCGTAGTTGTCTGAGTGTCTGGAGTCTGCGAAGGCACAGAGATAACCCCCTTTTTTTATGTAAAACATAACATGCTTTTCTTACTAGTTTTTTTTTCCTTGGTGAAGACTCTAGGCCGAAGATATGCAGAGTAGAAGAGAAAGTAGTGATAGAATGTTTGAATCAATGAATTCCTTTAGCGGCTTTGGATCACATAGATCAATGCTGTCGAACCTTTTTGGAGGAAGGGATCCGTTTGATGATCCTTTTTTCACTCGCCCCTTTGATAGCATATTTGGTCCTAATTCTGCACCGAGAAATATGCAGAACATGAACAAAGAAAAGGGAGTGATTATAAAAGAATTAGATTCTGATGATGATGAGGGAGATACCAATTACTCTGAAACTGGAGATGATGACAAAAAGCATTCTAGATCAACCATGGAACCATCTGTTGAGCATCCAGATGATGATGCTGACGGTGAATTACTTTCTCTGTTTCTTGAGGATTATGTCATAGCTTAATTCTTTTGCTGTACTAAGTGTGTACTGTACTGTTTGATGTCTAGGAGAGAAGCTCAAGCAGGTGGCTCACAGGAATGATTATAGCAAGGTAGAAACCCAAAAGCCTGGCAATTTTTCTTTCCAGACTAGCAGAGTTACATATGGAGGTGTTGATGGACAGTACTATGCGTCTACGAGAACCAGAAAAGTAGGAGGTGAAGGGGTATGTAACCTGTGTCAACTTTTGTTAACTTGTGTTGCTTGTGTCTAGGTTTGTCCGTTTTAGCATATAGTTTAAGCTCTTTGGTTTGGATTGCCACAATATTATATTATTGTTATTTTTTTTTCTTTTTCATAATCTTAGATCCGAGACTTGTATCAAGGCTAATTAATTTTACCTATGTAACTTCCTCTCTTGTGACTAATAATGAGGGTTCTCTGTCGTTGACATATAGGTAGTTATTGAGGAAAGCAAAGAAGCTGATAAGACAACAGGTCAGGCAACACACAGGATTTCCAGAGGAATCCATGATAAGGTGCTTATCAGTATATTGATCTTAGGTTTTACGCTTCTAGTAACCATAACTTTTGTCATAAATGTTTGATTCCTTTTGTGAAGAGCTCGATCAAAAATATTGTGCATGACATGAACTTGAATGAAAGCCTGAGAATTTGTTCCCATATTCTCCCTCCTCTCCAAATTTTATTCTCATTTGTTGAACTTGTGGATTATTGTTGTAGGGTCATTCATTTACTAGGAGGCTTAATTCAGATGGTAAGATTGACACTATGCAGACTTTGCACAATCTTAATGAAGGTACGATGGTGTTCCGTGATTTTCTTCTTCTTAATGAAGGGGCGAGACTGTGTTCCATGTTTAATCTATTTAATTTGTTTTTAATATTTCAGATGAGCTTTCAGGCTTTGAGGAAAAATGGAAAGGTAATAATATTGGGCACTTGCCTGGGTGGAAAGGAGGATCTGGTATGCATTGGAATGAAAGTAAGCTTCCTTTCTTCCCTTGGTGTGAATGTGTGTTTTCTGCTAAACATGCTGAAATGAAATTCACTGATATTTAATGATAATGTTCAGATTGGAAATTCTATTTCCTCACTTTGCCGTCAATAACTGCTTGTGAATTTCAAGATGCATTAGTTATATCTATCTATGCTAACATTTTAGGCGCAGGAAGAAAATAGATACCCTTGACTCACTAGATCTCGTCTAATAAACAAGTAACAAGTACAATGATTTCCTCATTATTTTAAAATTCCAAGTTCTAACACTGTTATAGTTGAGATAGTAAAACTTTTGATCTTTCAAATTTGTTTTGATTATCAATTTGATTCCTAGAGTTCAATCTTTGCCAAGTCCCTAAAATTTCATAACCATATTGTTTATCCTTCAAACCAAAAGGAGTAATTGTGTGTGATTTTGAAACTTTTAAAAATTTCATTGGTAAAGATTTTTCAAGAACCAAATCACTAACTGAAGCAAGAGTGATTAAGAATTTCATTTATCTAATCTGTAGCTCTTTGAGAATCATACATATATAGTCGTAGTTCCCTAAAAAATAATAATAATAATAATAATTGCATACTTGATCATGATATAGGTTCTGGCCATGGCGAACCTACGGAAAACCGCATGTGGAGAAATTGGTCATGCCCATCGTTGGAGCATGGAGGAAGCTCCAGAGGATCAGTGTCCCGCAATGAAACGAGCAGTAGTGGTAGAGCAAAGAAAGTTGTGAGGATCAACATAGAGTGATACAGCCATATATCTTTGGTAGAAAATCCCGGTCCTGTATTTTTGCCTCCAGAATGTGCTGAACCATGTCAAGAGCTAGCTTGAATATTCGTCTGCTTCTGATTCTATCATCACGTTAGTGACATTGTTAGGTTATGCTCAATTGCCACGTGCATATGGTACGAACATTTTGTGTCATTTGAATACCCAAAGAGTAGTTTGATTTGGCCTTAATCCTATAGATTATGGAATATTTGATTCTTAATCTATAATCCGTCCCTTAAAAATTACTCCTTTCGATACTTACTATGAAACAGCTCGAGATTTTTTTTTTTTTTAAGGTCTTAGAATACAATGTTTTATATATGATTATTAATGACGACTAAGAGAAAAATTGGAATTTTATATATTTTTAATAATTTTAAATATATAATTATCATTTCTTGATGAGCATGAATTTAATTAATTTTGTAGTGTTATGAAGGACCGAAATAGTATGAAACTTTTTTAATGGAATTATATCTCCAATTAGTGTGATAAGAATTGAACGATTAGTCTTTTAAGTCCTATGCAAAAAAAGAGCGAAAAGCTTAAAAACAGTCAAAAAGTTATTGAAGAATTTATTTAAAAAATATTACTGCTAAATGCAAAGTGAGGGGAGCACATGTGATATGTCCCCTCATTTTGTGAAAATTACATATTTTGGTTATAAGTTTTTATATTTTATACCTTTTCTTTTTATATTTTGTTCCTCATCTGGATATTTTAAATTTATTTTAGTTTTAAATGATAATGAGTTAACAACTTTATAACATAAAACCACATAAAAAAATCATAACACGAAATAATTGTTAATTAATTCTTTTAACTTTTTTAATTATTTTTTAATTATTAATTTTTAAAAAAATTTACCTCCTTAAAAACCAAAATCTTGACTCCACCACTAGTGTGTGTATTAAAAGTTGGTTCTTAATAAAGCTAATAGTATTACAGATTTATGTAGTCAATTTCAATTTGGTGGGCTAAGACATACCTATTGACCTTATGAGATATATGTCTTTAATAACATATTGTTAGGGATTAATTATTATTATTATTATTATGCAAGTGGAAGACTTATTAGAACATTGATATTTCCGGCCAGATGAAAGTTGCACTTCCCTAACATTTTCCTTTAATTTATTTATCATAAGTCCATGATTGCAACCGTGTTATTCAATTATGAAAATGGTGATGGACTAACTTTTTTTCCCTATGAGATGTCGCCATGCAAAATATATATCAAAGAGGCACGAGCATCGTCATTTCATATCTAGGAACCAAAAAGTTAAGTCCCACTTATAGATTATGTTCCTCTCTCTCGAAGAAAGAAAACAAGGTGACTTTTAACCAAAAAAACCAGAAAATAAACGATGACATTTGCTTCTCCACCGTTTTACCTGATCTAAACACGTAGGACACACATTACACAGTCCCATTGAATGACACATAAACCTCTCTCTCTCTCATCCATGCATGTGCCCCTCCCTCTCTCTCTCTTCACCTGTCTATAAGTCAGCCATCCAGACCACCACTTTCAGTGTACATTGATCATCGATCATCACTCTCTCCATCTCAAAAAATGGCCGTCTCCAACGTCGCCTCCGTCCTTCTCCTGCTGTTGCTCTCGGCCACCACTATGTCCACCGTCTTCTGTCGCCGTGAAATGGAGCTGCTTCAGATGGCCCAGACTCAAGTCCTTGAAGCTAAGACTTGGGTTGAGATCAGTCGTCGTCAGAGTGGTGCCGCTAGCAATTCGATGCTTTCATCAACGTCGGCGGTGGCTCCAGCGGAGCTGGGTGTGGCGCTCAGAGACTGTGCTAAGCTGTATGAAGAGAGTGAGCACAGGCTGAATCAGTTAGTGCTGTGGAAGGAGGATCAGTATCAGAAGCCTGGTTTCGACCGAGAAGATGTTGTGACGTGGGTAAGTAGTGTAATGAGTAATCATAGGACATGTTTGGAAGGGTTGGAGGAGAAAGGGTACGTGGAAGCTGGTCATCAGGGTTTGCATAAAAACTTGACGACGTTGCTTGGAGAAGCTCTTCACTTGTTTGTGAAGAACAAGCCAAAAGCAAAAAGTAAGTATGCCTTGAAAGCATATATAAAGTATCTTAGCTAGCTAGTTTTAAAAATGTCACTATTTTAATTAATTGCTTTGTTCTGTTTTGATCTTCCTAGATAACACAATTTGAAGTTTGTTGCATGCATAATGTATTTGAACTTTTCGTTTTGTCGAACATTAAATAAGTTATGTTTATTCTTAAATTATATATACACGAGTTAGACTTTTGTAAATAATAATAATAATAAAAACAATTGGTGCGGAGGGCTTTATCCAGTTGAAGCTTAGCCAACTCGAATTGATCAAATTGACATTTGTCAATATATATTTATATATCTATCTATATAACATTTTTTTAAAAAATATTAAAAATAGATTATGTATAGATCTCATATATATGGTCTTAGGAGAAATTACTAAAATATTTTTCATTTTAGAAAATGTATGTCTAAAAAAATTAAAATAGAAATTTATGTAATATCAACAAAATTCGAGTATATAATATTTAATTTTTTCACTGACACAATAGAAAAGAGAATTGTGATATTAATTTATAAACTTTTAAAAAATATTTCATTTTGTAAAAAAGGTAATTTTAATAAAATTATAAATATAATATGCATACTTTTTGGTCATAAAATAATATTCGCTTAATCATAAGCCAAAGTTAAAGTTCATGTAATTTTACTATAGTCAAATTGTTACATATTGGCCTGATTTTGACTTTTTTTTTCTGAAGTTTCAAGTTTGAAAGTTGGAAAGAAAAGAACAGTCTAATTCAGCCACCTCACACGGCAAGGATCTGGTAATTTAATGATTTAGAAATGAATGAGTAGTACAGTCTTTAAAAATTGAATGATTTAAACCTTTTCTTTTAAATTTTTTTTAAAGATTAAATTATGACAATAAATTTTTTAAAATCGAATTTTTTTTTGGAAGCAAATCAAAGAGCAAATTAAAATACAGATTATTTTTAAAAACCGAAATGTTATCATTAAATTTTTATAGAAAACTATATATATATCAGAATCTTGCTAAGAAAATTGAATATCCTTGAACATATTTATTTAATTTTTTATTGAAAAAATAATATTATAATTTTTTATTTATTATCTTTTGGCCCAAATAAACTCATGTTTGTTTAATTAATTTGTGTAATTAATTACGGTCATGAATTATTTTTTTCGAAATTATAAAAATGAAATTATAAAAGCCTTTATAAATAAGATTTTTTTTCCTGTGTTTTATAATTTATTAACAGTATAAATAATGAAAAATAAATGACTGTGATTGATTTGACCAAAGAACAAACAAGTATAAAGGGCTGAATGATGTTACAATTTTCATTCTTGAGAGAGCTATCTCTAATTAAACTCACCCTAATGTTATAAGATGGCAGCTCAGTTAGACAGTACATTTGTTTGGATTTTAATTTATTGGTTACTTAAGTACATTTGAATTTGAAATACATTAAATAACATGTTAGATTCATTGAATAGACTATTTTCAAAGGAATTTAACATCCCTCTATTCCAGAGTCATAAAGGCACTCATTTATGATGAGGAAAAATATTTCACTATTTATTATTATTTATTCTTATACAACATTATGAATTTGCACTTATGGTGGCTTTCCTTTCCTTTCCTTTTTTCCTTTTTTTTTTCTTTTTCTGTTTTTTGACCTTACATGTTTGGTAATGTTATGTGCTCCAATTTGAGGTTTGGTTCACTTCTATTTCTCAAGGATACTATATAACAATCTTATAGGTTTTTGTCTAGAATCTGTAATCTTATCATATTGCTACACTTGGAATTGAAATATTGTTTTGTTCTGCATGGATCAATATGATTGTGGGGCATCTATTCTAACTACAAAATGCAAAATTTAAGATCCTCCCAATAAAGTAGCCAAAACGTTTGAGGGCACCCTAAATAATTTTCAAAGTTCAGCTCAATTATTGAATTTCTTATATATAATATGTACACTAAGTTTTAAGAATTTCATTGAAACCTACTCTTCTAGTTTTATTTATAAGGAGGAAAAGTATTGTTTTGATATTATTTATAGGATAACTCAATTATTATTGTGTTTATGTTTACCTTTTTATCCATCTTAAATGCTAGATAAAGTTATTAAATATTGAAATATTTTATTTGTAAAGTGTGTGTATATTAAATAGGGATAAAGTCAAAAACTTGTTAAATTTTTAAACAAAATTAATAAAATGTAAAGTTTTTCTTAATTGCTAAAATTAATAAAATTTAAGGTTTTTTTTAATTTTGATGCTAAAAATAATTTATAAATTGGACCGGAGAGAATATTTTATGAAGTGAAGATAAAAAAGAGAAAATAAATAAAAAAGGCTGTCTCCCCTATTCTTGTGAATTTCACGCAAATGTAAATCACAATTTCTTGTCTTTAATTTCCCTTTGTTTTTATTTCATATTATAATTTTGTTTTAAACTAAAATAGCCCCCCATGTAATATTTAATTTGCAAGAAAAAAATGAAAATTAACGATATACATTTTTTATTACCTGATGCTATTTTTAAGTAGTAATAATTAAGAGGATGGATTAAAGTTTAATTAGACGACCAAGTAAACTAGGTTTGTATATTATGTTAATTATAATATTATTTGTGGGTTGTGCGGTGAGACAAAATAATTTCTATAAATATATACAACTATTTAAAGTTTGTAAATATTAATTTTAAGAAAAACATAACTCTAGATCTTTACACTTTTCTTTTCAATATTTTAAATTCTTATAATTTTATTTTTTTGTGTGTAATATTTTATTTATAAAGAGATCTAAAACACTAAAAGATAAACATATCTACATAAAAAAAAGTGTAAGAATTAATAGTAAACTGTCAGTAAGGTGTAAGAATTTAAATTATGTTTTCCTTAATCTTATAAATTCTTATAATTAACCAAACAAACAACAAAACAAATTAAACTCTGAATATACATATTCCTCCTCTATCTTAAAGCTTCAAGTTCACATTTCAGATTGAAGTGTTTGAATTGCTAGATTTTTTTCGAACTTGCAGATGTATCAGGGGATGGATTCTGGGGAAGAGACATGACGATTGAGAACAGAGCAGGTCCACAAGATCACCAAGCGGTGGCGATGAAAGTGAGCTCAGACCTTTCCGTCTTCTACAGATGCAGCTTCAGAGGCTACCAAGACACACTCTACGTCCACTCCAATCGTCAGTTCTACAGAGACTCCATAATTTCCGGCACCGTCGACTTCATTTTCGGCGACGCCTCCGTTGTCTTTCAGAGCTGCGACATCGTCCTCCGGCAACCAATGTCTCACCAGCCCAACTTCATCACAGCACAGGGACGGGACGACCCGAACGAACCCACCGGAATTGTGATCCAGAACTGTAGGGTTAGGGCGGCAGCGTCTGGCTCCGGCGGAGCAGCAGCAGCGACGAAAAACTACCTGGGAAGGCCATGGAAGAAGTACTCGAGGACGGTTGTTCATGAAGAACGATCTAGATGGTTGCATTGATCCTAAAGGTTGGAGTGGAGTGAGTGGAGTGGTGGTTTTGCATTATCAACTTTATATTATGCAGAGTACATGAATAATGGTGCTGGTGCTTCTACTCAGAATAGGGTGAAATGGCCTGGCTTTCATGTGATCCGTGCTCCTTCGGAGGTTAGGCCGTTCTCCGTCGACGAGTTTCTGCTCGGAAGCCGGTGGATTCCGGCCACCGGAGTGCCCTTCTCAGCCGGTGTGTTTAAAATTTATATGTAGAAGTCCTGTAGAACTTGAAGATGACGCCCGGTTAATTACTTAAATTAGGTATTATTGTATTCTATTAACTAGTTCCTGTTTTTGCCTATTTGGATATATCCTAAAGTGTGTGATTCTAGGACAATATTATAGCGTCCTATTTGGGTACTTTTGTATAATTAAGTACTTCGGTCACGCTAGTATTTTGGATAAATGATTTGTAGTGAGGGCATTAATATTATAGCTGATATGAATCTAATTTTATTAGTATCATTTATTTTTTATTATATATTTGATAGGTTGGCTTATAAGATTAGTTTGTCTAATTGATTACAGATAACTTGTTATAAAAAATGATTATAGATAAACTAGCCGGTCTAAGGCTTGGTTTGGATAGGAGACAAATTAGAGGAAAATAAGGGAGAGAATACTAGGATTTGTTTTTAATTGGTAGTTTTTCCTTCTATATTTAGTTCCAACTTATTCATAAATAATGACTCTCAAACCTAGAAATCTATTGGGGCCAATATAAATTACCTAAAAATCGATTGGGGACAATATAAATTTTAGTTTATCAAGTCCGTTTCAGTTATTAATTCTTTTTAAAATTTAATTTTTATTAATTTAGTTTTTTAATTTTATCTCAATTATCAATTTAATCTAAGGAGGTAAACTATCAAAATTTATTACCATGGACAAGGGAGTATTGATGGTACCTATGTAAATTAATGAAAAAAGTATAATTACTTAGATGAAAAAAAATAGACTCAAAATTTTTTTAAAACAAGAGAACAAAATGTAATATTAGTGATTACTCCTTCCATTAAAAAATGTAAGAAACTTTTAAGGGTTAAATATTAAAAAAATACAAGATATTTTTTAGTATTTAAAATGTAATTATTACATTTTTTTTTTCAAAGTGCCCATGTGAATAAATAAATTTCTATTTATTTTAAAATAAAATACTCTATTAAATGAAGATAAATATAGAAAAAATAGTGTTAGCTTGATGACAAGTAATGACTACTTTATTGAAATTGAGATTCACTTAAGAATACCTTATATTTTTTTAATGGAAGGAGTAATAATAAAATTTAAATGGATTTGATGTCTACTTTATTTTCATTTAGTTACATATATATGCTAAGTTATTAATATGCTTTATTAACACATTGTATTAATTTAAGAGTTAATTCATATTTTAAAATTTACAGGACTATCATGATAATTTAGGAAACTATAAGAGTTCAATTAATAAAAATTAAATTTAAAAAAGTAAATTGATAATTGAGGTAAATTTGAGTGATAAATAGATTCATTATCCCAATTGATTTTATAAAAAGTAGTGTTATTTTTTGAACGTGTATTACAATGCACCACAACACTTATCTAACCCACATGCCCACCTAACTTAATTATTTTGGGGGGAGAATCACATTCAATATTTAAGAATAAAGTTATTTTTGGTAAGGATTACAATAAAATAGATTATTGTTACAATTAAAATATGAACTTATTTTTTTAATAAAACTTGTTATTAATTTTTATTTATGAATAATTTTCTTTTCAAGCCCTTGGATGTGACTTCCTCTGGTTTATAATCCCCTGCTTCTTTGGGCCAACTGGGATTAAACCCATAACTCCTGGGTCAATGAAAAGGTTTATTTCACTCAATTAAATGATTCTTGACTTATGAAGAATACTTATAATTAAGCAATTTTTTTTTTTAAAATTGGTTGTTATCTTTATTTAATATATATCTTATATATATTACCTCATAATATTAAAAAGGAATTTGTAAGTCCAATATTTAAATAATTTTTTTAAAAGAATAATTACTTAAAAAGGATTTTCCCACATTTAGTGTCAATTTGACCAAAACAATTGATAAAAATACGCGCCAGGTAGGGGTCGAAACCTACGACCTTCTGCTTAGGAAACAGACGCTCTATCCACTGAGCTACAGGCGCTCTCAACATATGCTGCCCCAGAAGTTCATAATAAATACTGCTGTCCTTTTCTTTGGGTTGATTCCCACGTCTCATGTCTCTGACTCAACCGAATTCTAATGCATTTTTAAAGAGGAATCAATTCGTCCAAGTTTTGCTTCTCTCTGGGTTTTCGGCTACCTCTGTACCCCTCTGCAGCCCTAGCCTTCCCTGGTTGAATTCGCTGTGAATAAATCCCGGGACATCATGGCTGATGTTGCTGAGACCACCTCTCATGTGCTAACTGTGGCAAGCCTGCTCATCTTCAGTACGTGATCTTTTTGGGCAGCTGCTCAGCTTTTTAGTTCTCTGGCCATCCATTTTCTTCCTTTTGCATCTTCTTCTTGTTTTATATGGGATTGTGAGAAGAGTTCTGCTTATTAGATAATGGATTATATCTTAAAACAAGTTTTTGGATGCGATAAACAAGTTTTGGGGACGCGATTCCCAGCAGAATGATTTTAGTGTTGTATTTGACGGCATGGGTTTTGGGACCTAGGATTGGATTGTTCATGGACTTCTTGCCCCCAATTCGTAATTCTGAGTAGAAAGCAAGTGCAGCCATCTTCAAGTCAATTCCTAGCAGCCTTGGATAGTGAAAGATGAACTTGTTAGATTGCTTTTTTAAATTTTCATGCAATCTCTATAGTAAATTATATATATATATTATAGTCGACCTATTTTGGAAATGGATCAATTTCATTTGAAGGTCTATGAGCTAGTAGCTTATTTCTGGGCGTACTTATTTCATTTTCCGATTTTCTTGGTTTCTACCTGGAAAAAGCCTGAAATAAATTTTTCTTGAACTGCAGATGTTTAAATAATCATGTTTAATCAATCTTCTCTTTCACTCTATTCAGGTTGTCCAAAATGCATGGAATTAAAGCTGCCTCGCGAAGGTGCTGCTTTCTGGTTTGTAATTGTTCACTGCTTTATCAGCTTTTGCAAGTCCTTTTTTGCCATGGAGTTGAGTGGATGATATAGAGTGAAGCAACCTCTAAAAATAGCTTTTATACTGACAGTTCTCTTGCAGAATTTTTTATAAAAGTTGCGCGGAAAGTTCTTTGTCTTTCCGATTAGCCGATACATTCCATAAGTCCTGAGTATAAAAAAAATTAAAAAAAAAAGTTGATGTGTCCAGTGGTTGTTACGGAATATTGTTAGTCTCTTTAATCTATAATGTAGACTTTAGAGGTTTTCACGTATTGTGGTTTCCTCAATTTGAACAGATGAACTTGGATATTTTTGCGCTTCAGTGTTGATGCTGGCTAATAATATTTCTTAAGTCATTTTAATTACAGAAGATTGTGTTAGTAATTAGAGGCTTGGGTTTGCTGGGAAACTTTAAAAGTTGAGGATGGCCAACAATAGCTACTTTCTACATGCTTGTGAGAGTTATATGCAAACAAGTTTTGTAATTTTACTTTTACTTCTCAAATGTAATATCCTTTATTTTGGGGCCAATTTTAAAATCTCTTGACAGCACGCAGGATTGTTTCAAAGCTTCATGGAGTTCACACAAATCAGTACACATGAAGGCAAAGCTAACTTCTTCTGGGACAGGCAATCTGCAAGCAACAAAATCAGACTCACTTGGTGAAGGGTGGTTATATTGCTTGAAGACAAGGGCAGGCTCGAACTCCCAAGATGCCTCACTTTGATTGGACTGGGTAATTCACTCGGACTTGGTTTTGCATTTTATAAATCTCACATCTGTTAACCATCACAGAATATTATGTTCAAAATTGGAAACAATATATACTGTTTCGAACTTCAGGTTCTCCTGTTTTTGCCTTTCTCATGTTTCCTTTAGATCTGTGCATTTGATAGGTTTGAGCATCCCATATGTTCGCAACAAGAAATTATCAATTCTTTGTATTTGCTCCTTATACATATAATTTTTGTTAAAAAAATTTCATTTGTTGATACTTGGGAAGTGGAAACTAAGTCTCATTGTTGCTTTTATAAGGACGCTGAGGCCCATATCCCATGTCTCCTAAACAAATTGTACCGGCTCATATTGATAAACCTGATGGGGCTGATGATGTAAGTTATTGGTCGTCTTTCCTCATATCTACATATAACCTAATAATTGGAGGTCATCCTTCTGATTGACTTAGCTTAGGTTCAGTAGTTTGTAAACATGTTGTTTATTACCTGCTTGCAGGGAATACCCAAGTTGAGCCTAATAGTGGATCTGCAGCATATTGTTGAGGTGAGTGTTTTTAAGATGCATTTGCTGGCAATACTAGGTTAGAGTACGCTGTTGGTATTTTTTTAGTTTGCCATTATAAATTTGTTATTGATTGTTTATTTGCAGATTAAAACTCCAAATCAAATCAGAGAATGAGAGAATCATGCGAGTATGTGACTATATCCCCCTGTTTCCCTGTATAGATTCTTATCTTATGGCGCAGTTCTTTCTCTTTCTATGTTTTCTTTTAAATCTAACTTTTTTATCCAACGCTAAAATTCATTTTCAGCTTTGATTACAGTACAGAATCATGTACTCTTTGGATGTGTGCTAACTGCTAAATTTTCTCCTTGATTGGTGTCTTTGTTATTTAATAACTTCAAGGCGCATGGCCTGGTCATCTGAATCAATTTCACTTGTTGATGAATGATTCTTGACCTGTTATCCTGTGATACGCTTGAACAATCTATATGATCCTAGTTCATGCCGATAACTGCTAAATTTGCTGCTGATAAGAACCTTCTGGTTTATATATTCAATGTATGGTTTTACTTTATTGAGCTTAAGACAGTGGACTGGCTGATTACCGAAGCTAGATCAAGAAACAAAAAATGCTTAAAAAATGGTGCCCAAGGTAAGTTTTTCAACAAAAAATGTTAATGGTTTTTCCTGTATCACCTGGTGATAAAAGTCTTTCTCTGTTTACTTTTTTAGACCGTTTAAAGTGGCTATATTAACTAATAGAGCAGAACTTTTGTTGGCCGGTTCCTAAATATGATGGGAAATTTTAAATATAATTACGCTGTGTGTTCTTAATTATATGTTTTTGACTTAAGGAACCATGCTGATTTCCAGATTGCAAGGGCGGTTTTAGATGCAGCTGCTCGGGCAATCCATCCAGGTGTGACACTGATGAAATTGATAGGGTCGTCCATGAGGCAACTATAGCTGCAGGTGGTTTTACTTTATTGAGCTTAAGAAAGTGGACTGGCTGATTACAGAAGCTAGATCAAGAAACAAAAAATGCTTA